AAAAGAAAAAAAAAACTTGCGATTTGTTAGCGATATGAACGATACGGGAGAGATTGTAGGGTGGTACCCACCTGGATGGGTGACCCCCATTGAAATATCGAATAGGTAGCAGGCTGCCAAGTGTACCACAATTCCGCCATTTCCTTCAAATGCTGGCTCACAGCCTGCATCACTTGGTCACGCTGCTCGGCTGTACGCGCCTCTCTACAGTACCTGAATGGCACGCGTTCCTGAGCCTGAGGCCGGTTCGGTTGTCGCAAAGGCACATCTTTTTCGTTGATACTGACGTTGAGCGGGTTCAGTCGCCATCTCTCCAATTTCCTCTCCAACGACTCAAGCTGCGTATCCTGCGCTGTTCTTTTCTCCGTTGCGTTCTGGCATTCGCGTAAGGCGCTTCCCGATCTTGCTAAGTGAGAGAATCGATTTGTACTGTGCGTGGAATTGACGTTTTCGGATAATTGTGTCTCGAATATCTCATCGCTGTCATCTGAGTTCTTGCGCTTATTCCGTATTTCAAAAGAGGATGGTGATTCTGGACTGTTGGAATAGCGAGTTTTATGTTCGTGCATCGGAGATGTATGATTCAGCCTATACGAGTACGATGGTCTGGGCATTTCCGTATTGGCTTCTTGCGAAGCCGCTTGCTGCGATCCATTTGTATCAGATGAGATTTCCGACAGGCATTCTTTATCGGAATGTGACTCCTGAAAAATTTTCAATTCAAGGGTTAGTATCTCTTAAAGTTGAATAAATGTAATTTTGGTGAGAATTATTATTATTGCTTATGATATACCTTCTGTATATTTTTGTTATTGGAAGCACTTGATGGATGTTTAGACTCATTGATAACTTCGAGAAGTGATTTCATTTCCAGATAAGACATCCCTGCCTCATATATCCCAACATCTAAAAGATAATCATTAATTATTAAGCATTATGACTATAGAATTTTATTTTACAGTAATAAAATTTTGAAATAAAAATATAAAAAGGGACTTAGAAAATAAAAAACTTTATTGCAACTTACAAAAATTGTTTTGATCAATTTTTTACATAATTCTCTCCAGCTTCAACATACTTGAGTCATACAAGCTTCTATAATTATATATTCTGTCTCAAGATTTTAATTTTATGCATAGTTAATCTTTCATCATCTCAATGACTTCCTTATGAAAAAAAAACTCTGTAGCTTTTAATGTTGTTTTTAATATACCAAAATAATAGTTTTACTGTAGAAAATTTAAATCCATTAAATGCATTGTTGAATCAAACAGTACATCTAACAATAAGTGATTTTTCTCTCTACAGGCCATTAAAATAAGTGTCAAAAGATCAAAGTTTTGTTTTAGATGAGAAGATTATTGAAGTGATACAAGAATGGTTGTGCACAAAATCAAAATCTTTTTTCCAGAATGGGAAAAGTTCTTCAAGCGATAAAACACATTTAAAGAGAAAGGAATTATGTGGAAAAGTTATTAAAACAAAAATTTAGTAAATTAGTATAAAATTAATTTTCTTTTTAAATTTATTTCTTAATTTTTGATCTTCTCGTAAGTTGAAAAATGATTCTGCTATCAATTCTGATGTAAATATTTGTTCGAGTTGCTGCTTTGTATACATAACAATTATATCGATAGTACTGCATTTGCAAAAAAAGCAAAACAAAAATTGCTAGTTGGTTTCTTTCCGTATACAACGTTTAATTTTACATTGAAACGTATCCAATTACCCGTAAGCTCGTGTTTCATTTTTTCTTCTTCAATCTCTTCCGTCAATCTTAACCTCTGGTTCTTTTCCCGTTCCATATTCTCCGACATCTCTTCACAGAACGAATGAGTATTTGAAAATCGTGCGATTAACTTTCCTTCTCTTTATGGATATCTATCCATTTAGAAATACCATTTACGTTCTACTCTCGAGCGAAATATTTGTCTCGCTAACAAAATGTAAATAAGAATCATAAAAATATCTTTACGCGATTAATCATACCTGATTGACCCAAAGTCCCTATAATAAGAGTCACGACGTCAGGGCATCGATTATATAATTTTTCCCTAGAAACGGAAACGTGAAGAATGAAAACTTTCATGTGAATTCGACAATTCTATTCGTCGAATTCACGTGAAATTTTCACTTTTGGCTCCTAGGGAAAAATTACATGATCGATGTCCAATGGAATGGAGTTGCTTTGTCTTTCACACGTAAAGGCCTATCCAGACAAATTTGCATAATCGCATAAACATATGCATAAGAAAATTGATTGGTCCATTTCCTTATGCATTTGCTTATGCTTATATATAGACCAATCAATTTCCTTATGCTTATGCGTTATGCTTTATGTAAAAGCTTGTGCTCTCGGCTTAAGGAAATGGACCAATCAATTTCCTTATGCTTATGCGTTATGCTTTATGCAAAAGTCTGTGCTCCGGCCAATAGTGGAAAGTCAGTAGGCGTTAGCTTACAAAAATCGACCAAAATGTGTAGATCGTGTCTAGCACTGGTCTACGTCACTAATGCCCATTTCCACCAATGTAGATTAACTTTAATCTTGGTTCAACTTACTCTTTATCTTTTTCTATTTCTAAGAATTAGAAAAAGGTGAAGAGTAAGTTAAACCGAGATTAAAGTTAATCTACGTTGTTGGAATCGGGCATAAGAGATTATTTTAAATACTTCAACCCAATGAAATGTATTATTTATGATGAGAACGTTTTATTCTTACCTAAAAGTTTAAAAAATCACTTACGCTTGCATTTTTTAAAATAATTGAAAAAACATACATTTCAGAGTTAGTTAAGGGAATATGTACTAAAAGTAATGATTTTGAAATAGAGTGTAATATTTGTCACAGAAACATCTATTGCTATTAGAATTTTAAATGACCATAATAAAGATGAACATCATTTGACATCATTTAACAAGCCAACTAAGTTCAATAAAAAAATAGCAATAAGTTTTATTAATATTATTTTTAATATTATTATGTATATTAAATTTTTCACCTTTTTCAAATCGCGTTTAATTTATTAAATATATACAATATAATGATCATAGCAAAAACCAGGCAATTTATTTTTCATGTAAATATTACCCAAACAGCACACATATCCAAAATACATCCAAAGGATATCCAGAAGACGTCTTGTAGTCCCAAAAACATCCTCTGGACGTCTTTTGGATATGTTGTGCTATCTGGGTAAAAATGTTTATATAGATTTATCCAGAACTTGACAATAAGAATGATGGCTTTCTAGTAGTAGTACAACCAGCAACAATGACAGTCTTGATTTTAACAATTTTAATTTATTGAAAGATGAACACAAGGGAACCCAGACAGCAGGATCTCCAGAAAGAGTTCAAAAAGTATTCTCTTTTTTGAATTTTTTATGATCTGCTAAAATAATTACAAAAAATTGTCTAAAAGTGCTTTCATAATCAGCTCATTTTGACATTATATAATATGATGCGTGAAAACAAAAAACACGCATCACCCAACCTGACTCGGCTGGATTCTTGTTGGTCATCCGTATATGTTCGTCGATTATTCTCTTTGTTATTTATATTTACCCACACAGTACTTTCTAAGTCTCGCAGTTTGCAGTGCATACAAAACACGCAGTGTGTGAAATTGTTCCTGGTACAACGATCTTTGACGCAATTTTTCACATGTAATTTTTTGAGGTATATTTGTTTCCAGTAAACAAGAAATTATTGAAAGTTCAGAAATAGGATTGAAAATTATTGAGAAGAATTAAATAAAATT